TTGCCTTGTCTTGTCCGGTCTTGTCTTGTCTTGTCTTGTCTTGTCTTGTCTTGTCTTGCCTTGCCTTGTCTTGTCTTGTCTTGTCTTGTCCCGGTCTTGTCTTGTCTTGTCTTGTCTTGTCTTGTCTTGTCTTGTCTTGCCTTGCCTTGTCTTGTCTTGTCTTGTCTTGCGTTGCCTTGACTTGCCTTGTCTTGCCTTGCCTTGCCTTGTCTTGCCTTGCCTTGTCTTGTCTTGTCTTGTCTTGTCTTGCCTTGTCTTGCCTTGTCTTGCGTTGTCTTGCCTTGTCTTGCGTTGCCTTGCCTTGCCTTGCCTTGTTGCCGTCTGGTCTGATTTTGTCTCATGCAAGAGAGACTCTGAAAAGCTCAATCAGGCAGGCAGGAGCGTCAGGAGGGTGACCGATAAGAGGAGATGAAGTCCAGCCATTGGACTTGAGCGTGCGAGATGTTCATTGTGCTTTGAAGCAAACGCACGCCGAGGGAAGTCTGATCGCTTGACGATGCAGTCAGACGACGTATGCTCGACAGCTGTACATCTCAATATGTCTGTGATGTCTGCTTCAGGACCTCTCCGTGCGGTCATCCTCGGCAGCTCTGTCATATACCACTTACACGGACGACGGTGAGGCGATACTATCTGATGAGACCTGAGCTTCTTTTCAGATGACGAGGATGACAAGCCGGTCACCGTCGCTTCATCCAGGAAGAACGACCTGTACAAGGAGCATGATGGTTGGTGATGGGTTGACCTGTGCTGGCAGAATACAAACATTTGATGACGAAGCTCAAAGTCTTCTTGATCAAATCAATCAGGACCTTGGAAAGTCGTTGGTGTTGAAGACAGAGAAGAAGAGAAGCAGAGCGCGAGGCATCCTTGGAATCATGAAGGGAGTTATCGACGACTTTCTGGTGCCTCCAGAGATCCGTCCGTGAGAACGACAAGGTTTGATGAGACTGCTACTGATGGGTGTCAAGGTATTTCGAGAGAGAGCAGCGCGAAATACAGAAGGAGCAAAAGCTACAGCAGAAACTGGAGGTGCGCAAGCGAAACGCTTTGTAGGAGGCGTTGCATTGCTGTCATTCATTGGCTCTCAGGAAGAAAAGAAGAAATCTGAGTGGAAGAGGTTGAACCGCAGGAAGAGCGAAGATAGCACGGCCATGAGCAAGTTAGGAGAGCCTGTCGAAGATGCGCTGGAGTGGTAACATGTCGGGTAGGTACAATGCGATGCGGGAAGAAAAACAAAAAGCAGCAGAGAGAATCGTGCGATGGGAAAAAGATCTAGCCAGAGTGAGGACTGAAAATATGATAATGTTAAACCTGATACACTTGTCGCATGTACGTAGAAGAACGCGCAGCCAGACTTGGACAAGATGTTTGCTCGTCAAGATGTGGCTGCTGGACAAGAAGTATCGCGTAGAAGAGACGGATTCGCAGCTGTTAAGCTTCCCGATGGATCGACGTACGAGGGGGAGTGGATGGAGTACAAGCAGCATGGCTACGGCAAGATGACGTTTCCCGACGGTTCTCAGTACAGCGGTTTCTTCTCTGAGGGCAAGCGGAGTGGAGTCGGAGGTTTCCGGAGCGAGGCAGGTGGGAGAAGCTACAAGGGCGAGTGGCTGAATGGGAAGGCGCATGGGCATGGGGAGCGACACGATCGGATGAAGGGAGTCATCTACTCCGGGCAGTGGCTCCACGGGAAGCGACATGGTTGCGGGATGCAGCTGGACTGCAGGACTGGAAACGTATGGAAGATGATGCGAGGATGAGAATCTGACGAGGCTTGTCTGCAGGTCTTGTCAGGAAGTTGGAAGGAGGGGATGAAAGACGGGACTGCCGTCTTCGTCTCCAATGAGATGAAAGATGGACTTGGGAAGTTCATTGAGACTTGGAAAGACGGCGTTCTGCTCGCTCGCTCCCCTTACGATCCAATCCTGCATGGCACCGACCTAGTCAACGAAGCGAGCGGAGCAGCGAACCTCGCGAAGCTCAAGGCCATGGAGTGTGAAAGAAGAGACTCGTCGAGATGGACTGGCAAGATGGAGGAGCAGGACAGGCAGGAGGCAGCAGCAGCTCCTGCCTCTTGTGACGACACCGAGTATGCCTTGATCCCTGAGAGAGAATTCCGTCGACTGATCCATCTTGCTCACTCCCCTGATCCACAAGTAGAGCACATGGTGCTGCAAGTCTTCGACGGAGCTGCTGAGCAGCCAGGCTCTTATGAAGGCGAGACCGTCTTCAGAGTGAAGCAAGAGGTGTGGGATTCGAGCATCCGTCAACTGCAACATCACTTTGCGCGTAAAATTCAGAGACATTGGAGAAACAACGGGCTGAGACGGCTTGTCGCTGCTTGCAAGAAATCGTATAAAGATGCTGTAGAGAAACAGAACGTGATGGATGGGGAGGCTGCAGCGAAGAAAGCGGCGAGGGAGTCATCGCTTGTGAAGCAGCTGAATGAAGGAGGAGCGACAGCAGCAGCCCTCTTCGATCGCATCGCAAGAGACCCCAAGAAGCGAGAGGCTTCCAGGCTCTTGTACGAGGCGAGGCAGCTCTACAGCATGGAGTCACGAGTCCTCCCCGGCATGGAGACCAACGACTACCTGGTCTTGTCGCAACGTCTTGTGCGGCGCCTGCAGATCCTCGAGAAGGATGCGAATGCTGGTCGACGAATGTGGGACAAGGCCAAACTGAGGTTGAAGTTCATCTCCGCCTCCAAGCCGAGGAGCGACAACATCGTGAAGAAGAGAAGCCTGATGAGGTTTGAGGACGACTACGGTGCCGGCGAGAACTCCGCCGCTCTCTCAAGGTGGCTCTCCTCCTCTCTTGCTTGCGCTTGTCTCTTTCTCACGCTGCTCAGCTACAAGTTCGCCGACGGCACCTCCTACAACGGAGAGACACAGGCTGGGCTGCCGCACGGGTTCGGAGCGGCCTTATATCCGGATGGCAGCACCTTCTCGGGTCAGTTTGCCAAGGGGAAGAGGAATGGGCTGGGGGTTTACAGCAAGACGATCAACTCGCGGACCCTCAAGCACATGGGCGAGTGGCTTCACGACTTGAGACATGGGTTCGCCATCGAGCAGCTGCACCTGCCGGCGAAGCCTCTCAAGCTCTTCATGTGTGAGTATCACTTCAACACCTCGCTGGCGAAGGAGGCCGTCCTCGACCCGGGTACCTCCCTCTGCTCTCTCCTCGCGTGCTGACTAGGCGGCAGAGAGCACGCGCGAGTGGGTCAGAGCGTGCGAGCACGTGTCTGACCTCGCCAACAAATTCGCCTTCGACTCGAAGCGACCGGCGGCTACCGGGAAGCTGCGACTGCGACTAGAGCCCTCGGAGCTCATCGAGTTCGAGCCAGCGCAAGGGATCTCCGTGTACACAGGCAGCCGAGGCTGAGCCGCGTCACAGGCTGACGGTCATGGCAGGCGAGCTCAACGAGGGTCTCAAGCACGGGGTAGGTCACATGCGATGGCACGACGGCCGGATGTTCGCCGGAGGGTTCGCGGGAGGCAAGATGACGGGGCTGGGGATGCTGATGGAAGCAGACGGGTCCGTCTTCTTGGGGAGGTTCCGCGAGGGCGACCAAGACGGCTATGGAGGGTTCTTCTCGTCCGACGGGATCGTGCTGATAGGGATGTGGAGGTCAGGGCGACGGCATGGAGCTGGGGTCGAGCAGGAAGAGAGAGAAGGTCAAGTGAAGTGGAAGGCGGTGGTGCAGTACCAACAGGACGAGCTGGTCCATCTCGATGATTTCTCGTCAGGTCTGTGCCTTTTAGCCTCCTCCTCTTCTTACTCCCGCAGACGAAGTCTCCAGCTGGATCGAAGCGGCTGAGCGAACCATCCATGACGCTTGTCGGCGAGTGGTGGCGCACGTGAGAGGAGCGGCAGCTGACCTGGTGACAGGCAAGCAAGTCTGGCCTTCCCGCCGACCAGGCAAGAGTTTCAAGGGGATGGCAATGGATACAAGATGTTTGTAGGAGGCCACGTGAACGACCAGCGGAATGGGTGAGAGAGAGGAGGGACAAGCGAAGTGAAGCGAGAGGAACTGAAGCGAAGGCAGGTATGGCGTGCTTATGAAGCATGATGGGACAAGATACGTCGGTGAATGGATGCGAGACCTTCCTCACGGTCAGCATTGAAGCAGAGATGTTGCTTTTCTCTCATGTGACTTTCATTCTCCATCTGCTGCTGCTGCTGCTGCTGCTGCTCTTTCTTCTCGTCCTCCTGCTCCTCCGCAGGTCTCGGAGTGGAGTATTACCCGGACAAGTCGGTCTACCAGGGGAACTTCCGGAGGGGGAAGCGAGAGGGGCTAGGGAAGTACACGCTTGAAGACGGCAGCTTCTATCTCGGAGAATGGAGACAAGGGAGGAGACAAGGGAGGGGCTGGGAGCACGAGCTGTTCAAGATGGTTTGAACCTCCTGTAGAGCTCTAGAGCTTCGGCTTGACTAGACGGGCAGGGAACCTCTGCCATCAACATCCGAGACTGGCTGGTGGAATTCGATGACGACAAGGAGATGAGTGAGAGGACTCGAGACTCGAGATGCTCCTCACTCTCCACAGGTCGCAAACCGAAGCGCAACAAGCAGGAGGGCAGCTGGACAAGGGAAGCAGAGGCGAAGGCGAGCAAGGCAGCTGCGATCGAAGAAGAGACGATCCAAGACTACGAGGACCTGCTGGACATCTAAGGTAAACCTCGACTCTCTCTTCCTGCATTGCCATGGAACTCGCTCTACTGGCTCACCTCTTGCTCAGCTTGTGTCTACTTGAGCTTGCGGTGATCTGTCTCCGATCATCTTCACATCACAGGATGGTTGTCGACTGTGCAATGTCTTAGAGTCCGTATTCAGGTGGTTGTCGACTGTGCAATGTCTTAGAGTCCGTATTCAGGTGTAGACTGATCAAGAAACAAACCCAGTCATCGAGGAGAGAAGAAGATGATCGACTGTCACTCCTTGTCCTCGTTCCTCATTGAAAGCAAAAGAAACATTTCCAAGACACGACAAACATCTCTTATAGATGACATCAGATTTGTTCCACTCATATCTTCATTATTCACACCCTTCATTCATGCAAAATTTGCAACAATTCTCCATCAAGTAAGTGTTGTCGATGTCCACGAAGTTCCGTATCTGAAAGCTCGCTTGCAATTCTACAAACAATGAGCACCACAAGACTTAAATCTGCCGATGTCATCACCTTTCATCCACAGTCGACATTTGACCAGACATCCCACCATCTCCAACTCAGCGTCGACGTTGAACTGCAGATGATGCAGCTCAGCCAAGGACGCGAGGGGCGCTAGGCGAGTACCATGACCATGTAGCAGGGGATCATCTGACTCGATGTTGCGGCCACAGCGAACTGAAATGTCGGCATGAGACTCGAGGAGCAGCAGAGGCTCTCGGGCTGCCTTACCCGACTTCTCTCCAGCACGCAGTCGTGCAGGCGCATCTGTCAGCGCCGTCAGATCGGCAGCAGGTGGAGAAGTGAAAACTTGCCGCTGCGCAGTCGTGCATGTACACGGCTTCTTTTGTCTCCCTGATCTGTCACGTCGTCACTCTCCCGCTGCTCTCGGTTTGGCGTTACTGTCGAGTTGCACAGGAAACCTGACGCGCTATGCATCGCTCCGATCCCCGTCTGAACTCCCTGCGCCCAAGCTCGTGACTTCCTCACCACTGACGCGGCTGCTCGACCTGGATGACCGTAGACTTGATGACCACCGAAGCTTGACAGTCGAGGAAGAGGCCGGCAGCCGATCCTCCTCCCCCAATGCAGCAGTTCTCCAAGTTGATCGATGCTTGCTCGGTGATGCGGAACTCCTGCTCCAGCCCTTCACCTTCTTCACAAGGATCCCCTCCCACCCCCCCCGCGCGCTCTCTCCTCCTCCTCCTCCTCCTCCTCCTCCTCCTCCTCCTCCTACCCGTGACAAGTCGCCATCTGCGCGAACGCAACAGGAGCCGAACGTCCACATCCCATGGAACGCGTAGACGCAGGAGGCGCCTGCAAAGCTCTCAGGGGACGTGGCAGTCCCGACATGCGCTCTCAACCATTCTGGTCCAAGCTGAAGGTCAGCTGGCGGAAGGCTCCAGCAGCGTTGCAGAGGAGTGGCCTCTGCACCCTAGTGCTGCCAGCTGAGGGAACGACGGCTACGAGACAGCAAGCTCACCTGTCCGGCTTCCAGAAGAGATCAGGACGAAGAAACTCAGCAGTCTCCCGCATCTTGTCCAGTCAGAAACCAGTCAGCCAGTCAGCCAGTCAGCCTCGCAGCAAGCAGCAAGCTTGCTTGACCTCGCTGAAGGGTGGCACACTCATTCCAAGGGTCACTCTACCACAGAAGCCGCTGGCGCTGACGTTCTCTTCCCCCCCTCCAGGTCACAGCAGGGTCAGAGCAGATTCATGGCTGAGATAGGGGGAATACGGAGAAAGACATGTCCCGAGAAGTGACGCAGATCGCCTTCCATGATCTTGAAAGTCTCTTCGCTCTCGGAGACAAAGAGTTGCGGCCCTTGCATCACGACGGGAGTCTTTTTCCTCGCGGCTTCGTCTAGTCTGGCTCTGCAGAGACGTCAAAGCAGGATGACGAGGAGAGGACGAGAACCTAAGAGCCCTGGGGACTGAGACAGTCGGCTGCGACAGCATGAGGAGCTTGAGGGCAGCAAGTCAATCACCTCGAGGCTCTGCGGGCTCACAAGCATGCGGCCTCGACATGCTCGCGTGTCGGACTTGCTCGAGGAGTTCCAGGCAGCAGACTCTGAGAGCAGCCGTTACTTGCTGTCCTACCGTTACTTGCTGTCTTCCGGTCTCATCCTCACCCTCAAGCTCAAGTGCCAACTGTGCCATCGCTCGCAGCTTCGGGGCGATTGCGGACCCGTCGCGAGTGACACCTGGAGGGTTCGCTATGGCCAAATAGTCACGAGCAGACGACAGCGTCTAGTCGCACCTGGTTTGATGACTCCGATCTCAAGATCCGTGTAGTCTGCGAGCACTCAGACGAGGAGAAGATGAGCGAGACAACAACGACTTGCAAGGAACCGCCTCCTCTCCTGCCTGATGAGACACACATGCACCTCCTCCTTCTGCTGCTGCCGTCACGTTGGCTTTTGCTATAAGCCAAGACTAGGAACCTTGTCTTTCTCTTCCTCGCTTGACGAGAAATCTCTGAAGGAAACCCGTCAAAAGTGTGACAGCTTAGCTTCAGCTCAACCCAATCGGTGCCTGCTGATCTCCTGCAGCGATTTGAAGACCTCGGCGAAGCTCCTGACCGCACATGTTTTAGTGAAAGAGCAAACATAGAGATGCTTACAGGAAAATCGTTCATCAGATCAACGTGACGAGTAAGTCGCTTGCGTTTCCTTTCCTGCTTGAACCGTAACCTCGACTCATTCAACATGCTTCACTGACTTCTGATTCAGCAGTCCACTGACGTTCAAGACAGAGTTCAACGGGCTCGCCCGGCCTTCCCATGATCTGGGGAGCCAAGGATGAGGAGGTCGAGGAGCGTCACGGTTGTCAGCAGCTCACAAGCTCCATGGCGTTGATCAGCGGCCAAGTATCCATCGAGATTATGTCTCGCTGCGACAGGCTGTTGCACTTGCGACCCTCCTCCTCTGGTCACCTGCATCAGCCGCACACTCTTGAGCCTGTCCCCCACTTGCACGCATCCGCTGTGAGCGGCAGGCGAGTCTGGCGAGTCAGAGGAGCAGGAGACGATGAGAAGACCACGAGAAGACCACGAGAGCAGCACCGGGGAAGATGTATCGCACGAAGATGTATCCTGGTCGTCCAAACGAGCGATCGATGACGGTGAGGTCTATGGGAACAATGAAGGCGAGCAGATGGGCAGGAGCAACAGACCAGAACCGCGATCCTCTAGACTGACATCGGGATACTTGAAGGCGTCAACGCCCGTGCTCTGCTCGAGGTCTTAGTTCTCAAGAGCATGGAGCGCTGCAGCTCTTACCTCGCGCTCCCATCCTTCTGTTTCCCATGGCGCGTACTTACTCCATACGATCTACAGCAGGCATGAATGAAGGCTCTTCGACTTCCCTCTACTCACCCCTAAGTCCCCAGTCGACAGCGAGCTGAACCGCCTCGGGTCTCCCTCCTTCGAATCCTCTTCCTGCCCCAGGGCTCAACGGTATGGAAGCAACTCGCACATTTCATTCTCGTCAAACATCAAAAGAGCGCATCGCCTCCTCTCATCACATACCGAGACTGCAATCAGACCCGTAGCCTCCATCTGCTCATCATACAGCTGAGCCTCGAGCTCCGGACGCTCCCAGTAGAACCTGGCACTGAACGTGAGGCGCCAGCAGACGAGATTCTCAACAACCGTCCGATGGTTTCGGTGTGAGGAGGATCATGCTTGTAGGCCTCGTTGAGGTACGAGGAGACTCTCTTGAGCTCAGGATCGTCTTCAGAGGAGATGTGCAGAAAATCAGGACCCTCAGATGCCCCCACACTGCTCGACGACGACCCGCCTCTCAACGACATGGCGCGAGTGAGACCGCTCGGTCGGACTTGATGGGTTCCGAGCGGAAGAAGGAGAACAAGCAGCATGCATGAGGGCGAAGTACGAGCTAGTCTCGAGCATGCTCTCTCAAGGCCGCTTCCTGGTCGCCTCCTCCCCCCCCCCATTTTCTACCGCACCTTCACCATTTACTTGCGTCCACTCCGCTGAGCCTGCCTCAGAGCTTTGGCGGACTGCATGAGAGCATGGCGCATGCGGTGATGGAGGAACTGACGAAGAAGGTGCGGGAGAAGAGGGGAGGGGAGGAGGAGGAAGGGAGGGGAGGGGAGGGGAGGGGAGGAAGGGAAGGGAGGGGGAGAGGGGGAGGCAAGGAGGGAAGGAGAGGCGAGGGGGGGGGAGGAAAGGAGGGGAGGGGAGGGGAGGCGGGGAGGGAAGGAGAGGCGAAGGGGGAATGGGATGGGATGGGTTGGGTTGGGTTGGGGATGGGTTGGGATGGGTTGGGATGGGATGGGAGGAGCGGAGAGGTGAAGGGCGCGGAATCGAGAGAGGGAGGTGAGCCGAGGAGAGGAGAGCGTGTATGCTAGTTGTGTCGACGGAAGAGGTCTCAGAAGTAAGCGAGGTATCCAATTCGACATGATGTAGGCGGCATACGAGTGGGATTAGCATCAAAGGGTTGTGATAAACACGTTTGGGAGACGTTTCGCTATCTGTTTGTCAAGCTCTCTGCTTTCATCTCATGGCATGAGCATGTCCAGGAGCTCGAGACAGATAAGCTGATCCAAGATCTCCTTCAATGCACATCTTGCGACAAACAGATTTGTATCCGCTCCAACATCAAAGACAACCTCTGCCACGTGCAGGTCTGCCATGCACTTCTAATATTCTTTCTTTCATGCCGTGGCTTTCAGTCGTTGTTGGAAAAATCTCAAATTCAAGCGATGGAGAATGATTCAGAAAGCACCAAAGCGGATTTAATGGCCCGAATATCGAGACACAGGACGGAGCATCAAAGGTCGAGCAAGTTGTATGGAACTGAGGTCCTGAGAGGCTCGACAGGCTTTCCTCTGCACTGAGAGCTGCAGTGTCGGCAGCTCGGGCAAGCAGAGAGACGGTTGGTTCTAGATGTTTGTCATCGCAGACGTTTGATGCCAACTCGCAGGTAGCTGAGCAGCATAGAGAAGCGCTCTTCGCGGGAGCTGCCTCCACATCCGTGAGAGGTGCAGCTGCCGTGGGGCTAGTGGGAGGTCTTGACTTGACACAACAGAGTTGCGACAGCGAGGCCATCAAGGAGCCTCGAAGGCTCTTGCCACCAGGTCTTCCTCTCCTTGCTTGTGCTTGTCCGCTGACGCCGTGACAGCGCTGAGATCACTGAGAGTCTCAAGAGAATGCGACAACAGATGGCTGGAGAATTGTCACGTACAGCACAAACCTCGCAGGCAACATGGTCAGCAATTTTGATGCAAAGAATGATGTTGATCCACAGGTTCTAGACTCGTCGTCTAAGACGATCCAGCATGCAGCAAACGAAACTTCATCAATAGATGCAAGGACTACTCAGTAACCCTTGGAACGGATGGTCGACTTGTTTTGAGAGCTTGCAGGTCCAAAGTTCTGTTGACTCGCATCGGGAGAAGAAACTTTACGGATGTGATGCTTCTTGTGAGTGCCTGCTAACTTACATTCTCGGAGCTACACTTATACCTTGTCCCCTTCGTTCCAGATCTTCGGTGGATGCATTTTCCTCACTGTAATTCTTTACATTTTCAAGAGGCGCATTTACGACAAGATGTTTTGAAAGTGTCATATTTTGATATTCATTGATTGGGTTAAAGTAGCGGATACGTTGAAAAGATTTCAAACTAATCTCAAAGAATATGGCTAGCCCAGCCTGTCTTACATGACTGGACTGATCTATTTGCGTCTGCAGAGGGTTCCAAGCTTGGGATTTCATCTACAGGTCATCAAAGGATAGACATCCATCAATGTCTTCGGCGTGGCTGAACAGCTCGCAATCTGCCATGACCCTCCCCGAGTGAAGATGATGTGCCTCCTCTCGCTCGTCGAACCATGCTTCGCCCCACTCCACTTTTTGCCGCATGACCACCTCCTGAAAATCGTCTTCTTCGCTGCTGGATTGAAGCTCCTGCGGGCTGTCGCAGTTAAACGCTGCCCTCCATTGCGCGAGGGTCTGAACGTTGGGGTTGTGTAAGTAGTCTACGATCGGAACTCTGCTCTCTTCCATATCTCCTAGCACTCGCTCCATGTCGCGAGTAGATGGACCCTGAGGATCTTCTGACTCTTTCGCGCTCGAGTCTTCTTGTTTCGCTGGAATGTTTGCAACACTTTGCGTGTTCTCTCCCTGAGATTTGTTTTGATTCACCATGTCCGGTCGTTGTCGCGAGTACGGCCATCGCGATATTCCTACTCTCCTACAAGCATTCTTCATCGCTGTAAGAGAGATTCCAAGAAACGTTGCGGCCTCACTCTGGCGCATGTAGAACAAGGATTTGATGTCAACCAGGCTAAGACTTAGGGAACAATTCGACGATCTCTCTGATTCCCCTTTCTTTCTCCTTGGGAACACATTCGCTCGCACTATTCTCGGGTTCGCTTTTCCGTTCGATCCTTTGCTTTTCGAGCTTCTCTTGCTCTTTTTCCCAGTTCTAGCATCAACTGTGGACATAAGTAGATTTCTGAACGAGAAGGCCTTGACTTGCTCATGTATGCTTCCCTTGTGCATGGCTACCGGCAACGCTGCTCGAGATCGATAGAACCAACGTTCTTGTAGATCCCGAGACTTCGATTCCCCCTCCAAGTACGTGATGGAAACTATAACTTCTGGATTTTACTACAGGAGGTTTAGAACCCTCTCTATGAATAGCTGTCTTTTCGCTCACGTCCCATTTACCCAGGGGTGATTCTCAGGGATTTTAAGGGGGTGCGGTGTATGGGGGTTTATTTGCACGGTCATGAGCTTGAGGCTTCTGATGCCAGTAGCCGCATCACCTACGCCTTCCTCTGTCGCACCCTACCCCTATCTTCAACCCTGATAAACCTCTGAAAAGAGGGGGTGACTGAGAGTATCCACATTTACGATACCCATATAAAAGAATCTTGTCTTTCTACCCCTTCTTTCATATGAATACTACCCCTCCCCTTCAGTGGGTCGTTCGCGAAACAAAACTTTTCCGCTTTGAACGTCAGCAGGGGAAATCATCGGAGCGATGCTTGCGTACAACTGACTTATATACGGCGAGATGTCAGAAGGGGACGAGGGCTGAGGAGCCACGAGGACCTTTTCTCATAGGGAGGGAGTTGAAAGAGACGAGCACATATGGGGGGGGGGGAGGCGGAGAGCGGCCGGACGTGAGAGGTCTGCGCCGGCAACGGAATACTTGCGAGTCACAGACAGGAACCCCGATTTAAAACTCTTTTACCGACGGCATGGATTCATAAGGCCACGAGATTGTAGCTGTTTGGGAGCAGGGAACATCTGACAGCAGTCACGTCCGTCAGTATCTCCCTGGAGAGATGCCGGCGGCTCGTGGCGTCTTCTTGTCTTTTTCTTTCTCTTCCTGCAAGGGGGCGGCCTCCCCCGCCCTCACGTCTCCGATCTTTACTCAAAGTTAAGTTAAACAGCAGTACCAGGATACTCAAAGTTACGCCGAGATTACTCCAAGTTTTAAAGGCTCTGCTAGCTCTTTTCCGGCAGCAGGCCCGAGTGCACCCGGGCCCGGCGGACCGCTCAGCCCGGCGGACCGCTCAGTGGGCAGTCACTGAGTGTTCCGGCCGGGCGTGCCGTTTGATTGTTGTGAATTCGAAAAGAGCATAACGGTCAAATAACGGATTGGTCCACAAGCAAGGGCGGGAAATGCGGGTACAGGTGGAGGGCTGGCATGCGGTGGGCACGTGGACGTGGAACGCGGAGGATGACGCGTGCGGTATATGCAGGTGAGAATCTGATAGCTCCCCCCCCTCCCGCCCCTCCTCCCTCCTTTTTCTCCGCCTGTGTCCTTTCTTCGTTGGCGGCTGAACTGGCCGCATGTCTCTGTGCCAAGTCATAGTTTTCTTCTTCACCTGCCTCCTCTCTGATACTCGCGCACCAGATTGGCGTTCGATGGCTGCTGCCCGGACTGTAGGATCCCCGGTGATGACTGTCCCATAGGTTCCTAGTGCACACGCCGATCTTGTTTTTCTCTAATTCCATCTTGAGCAGTATGGGGCGAGTGCAGCCATCCTTTCCACATGCACTGCATTGTCAAGTGGATTGGTGTGCAAGGAAACAATGTACAGAGATGCCCCATGTGTCGAAGGGAGTGGCAATTCAAAAGCAGCTAAGAGAAACCACCCAGCATTGGGATGGGGTTGTATGGTTATGGCATTTCCGCCTTCCTGGGCTGTTCCATGCTGATCTTGGCAGTCGTAGAAGCATGCTCGTTTAGGTGCTCGACGCCTGTTGCATTCGATGCAAGTGAGAGACAAGGATTGGTCCACCAGGAGGTGGTTGACAGCAGCGTGCTATGGGCGGACTCGGTTCTTGTCAAGATGAGAGAAGCAACTTGTCTTGGCAGCGACTGGGTGGCCCTGACGGAGCAGCTCGTGCAGGAGCATCGCTTTCACGCTGCCTGGGAGGTTCTTATGTCGTTTGCTCAGCGGAGCAACGCAACAAGTGGCGATGAGGGTGAGGAGCTTAGAAAGGCTCAGGCTCTCATGGGGATGCTCGTAGTTCGTATGTATCGCCTTCAGCCGTCTTTCCAGTCTTTCCTCCTTCACCGTGACGCTCTCCTCGCCTGCGGACGAATCTTGTGGTTCTGCACGGCTGACCGAGAAGAGCTTCTCTGTATCCTCTGTACCAACTTGCCCCTTGAGCCAGCCCTGCTCCCCTGCGGTCACTTCTTCTGCTTGGATTGCTTGTGCATGTGGCTTGAGGAGGCGATGAAGCTCGGAAACAGCCCGGGGTGTGGCGTGTGCCCCTACTGCCGCTCTCCTCTCAGAGCCTTCGCCCCATCGGTTGACAAGCGGCTTGGAGTGATTATGAGGAAGCGGGAGCGAGGAGCCTCTTGCCTGTTTGATTAAAATACTAGAAACTTGTTGCCTTGTGCTCCTTTAGAGCTTCGCGTGCTTTCCGCGTTAATCCTCAAAGGTGTATCCCGAAGCAGCGAAACCATCCGAACTGATAAAGAAACAACTTAGAACCCCTCCCTCCCCTCGCCGCTCCCGTCACCTCCTCCTCGGATACGCCTCTCCCGCCTTCACAGCTTCACATCAGGCTTGAACTGATAGACGCACAGAGAAATCTCTTACCGTGCTCGACTGCTCGCCTTTGCGCTTCCTCTCCGTCCCCTGCGTCACCCTTACCAGCATATCGAGGTCTTCGTCGGCAGCTGCAGCACGCGGTCAGGCGTTGAAAGGAGATGACGGAGCGAGAGGAGGAGCGAGGAAGAGGAAGACGAGGGAGCAAGATGAAGAAAGAGGCTCCTACCAGCCGTTTCAAGAGCAAGGTCGTCAAGCAGCTGAAGCACCATGGCATAGTCCGCCTTGCTCGAGGCCTCCGGTGTCATGTCGGTCAACATCTCCCGGGCTGAGTCTGCAGGTGCATGAGCGACTTACGGGAGAATGGAGGCGACGAGAAGAGCACAGGACGAGGAGAGGAAAGTGAAGGCAGAAGAGAGAACGAAAAAACGAGAGCAAGCGAAGAGATGGAGATGTCCGGAGAGGAAGGATCCTCACCAAGTAGCACACGCGTATTCCTCTGATGCTGCTGCTGTCTCTGTGCCTGCAAGTCGCACATATCAGAGGAAGGGGGAGGCGGAGTTGGATGTTGATGTGAGGCAGGAGGGGAAGATGAGGAGGAAACATGAGGGCAGTGATGGTGCAAGAGGGCAGCACCAAACGCTTCACTTCTTCCTGCTCCTTCCTCATCCTCGTCATCTGAGAAAGGAAGCAGTGAGGGCAAGATCTCATGGCTGGTTAGGTAGACGGGGCGGACCTTGCGCTTGAGGATGTCGATCTAATTGCAGAAGTGAGAGGAGAAACGACAATGTGAACATCAAGAACCTGGTGGTGCGCGTCGTCTCTGCTGATCTCCTTGCTTTCTCTGCCCTGTTGTAGATTCGACAGCTCCTCCGACGTGCAAGTCATCGTCCCTTCCTCCTCCGCCCTCCCTTGCTGGTCTACTGCATCGCATGAGCATCTCGCGATCATCAGCTTGCTTGTCCACTCACCTCCGACTGTCTTTCCTGTTGCTCCTTCACTCCCTTGCCTCCCTGATGCTCGTCAAGACCGAAACAAGCTGCCGCTCTCACCACCTGCTTCGCTTCCTTTCCCTAGGTGACCTCGCACTCGCAGCCGATCTTGTCGGTGAGAATCGTGATCCTGAGAGGAGCTCAAGTTGCCTGCGTCAGAAAAATGTCATCATCATCATCATCATCATCATCATCACCATCATCATCACCATCATCATCATCATCACCATCATCATCACCATCATCATCACCATCACCATCATCATCATCGTCATCAAGCGGTCGAGCCAAAGAGACCTGCAGGTTCCGCTCTTGCTCGGAGAATTTCGAACTCGTACAATACACCTGCAAGAGATTGAGCCAGGGAAATCAGGAGAGGGAGGTAGAGGTGAGAGAGGAGCGTGGTAGGAGGAGGGCAGGAGAGGCAGGAGAGGCAGGGGCAGAGGGGAGAGCAGAGAGAGGAAGTGAGTCTCACCCATTAATGTCAATAGGATGGGAGGCTGCATGACTAGGTCGATCGCATCCCCATAAACTGACTCATGCGTCAGCCCCTTCACTTCCCTCCCCCTCCTCCCTCTCCCTCCTCTCCCTCTCCCTTCTCCCCCCTCCCCCTCCTCTCCCTTCCCTCCCCCTCCTCTTCCTCCTCCTCCTCTTTCTCATTGCCTTGAAAGTGAGGACGAAAGAATCCTTCGCGTCGCCACTTGACTTGAACCTGCTCGTCGCTTTACCCTCTCGCCCCATCCCTCCGCCTCCATCTCACCGACACGCCAAACGGACGTAGGAGACTGATGGCCTGAAGAGCATCTGAAAGAGTCGCAATGAGGGCTGACAGCTGGGAAAAGAAG